ATTAATGGCAAGCACTTTTGAAGCTAGCTAGCCCTCCGACTGCGCTATCCTGAAATGGGCGTATGCACGTTTTTCCGGGCTCGCCAATTTTGTCGTAGTTATACCCGGATCTGGTATAATGGAGTATCGCTCAACGCGGCGTAGTGTAGATTTTCATCAACAATCATGTAGAGTTCATAGTCAGCGGCCAGTTAAGATATGTGGAAGTAACTACATTGGAGCTCTCCCAGGAGGATTCTGACTCTTTGTGAATCGTGGATTCATAGCGGACCATGTGGGGTCATCACTTCCATGATTGATGTGTGTTTGATGGTAGATTGTTTAGTAGTTTGATATAATGTTCAGTACATTCCGTGGTGAGAGCGGCGACGAGTTGCCCAATGATAACTATGACAGACCGTTATCGGCCACCCCGGGAGCCAGGCCTCCCTACGTCATTGTAGTCCACAGTTGCAAGGGCGGCGTTGGCAAGAGCACAGTCGCTTTCAACCTCAGTGTAGCCCTTGCGGATAGTGGACTTGATGTTGGTGAGTATTAGAGGGTGGGGGTATTGCTGTGATCTTGTTTTGAGCTAGGTCTGGTAGATGCTGATGTTATGGGACCATCTCTGCCGGCTTTCGTCAAGCCGGAGGAAGGTCACCTGTACTTTTCGAAAAACGAGAAATGGGCACAACCAGTGAAGTAGGACGCCTAACTGGCGGACTTAGTTTCCTTTTTTGTGATGATTAGGTATCCGACCACTTGTGGATCTCTCTGTTGCCAATCCTTTGGCTGGCTTGACGTGAACAAGGCCTCGAAGCAGGGCGCTGGCCTCTCCGCACAGAGTGCTAAGGAAGTCGTGGCGATGATGCTCACACAGACTGACTATGGCAGTGGGCAGGGCATGAATGGTGAAATAGCTTTATTGTTTGATTATGTAATTCAGACGTTACTCATCTGGTAGTGGACTGTCCGCCTGGGACTGGGGACATACCGAACCTCCTATTGGGCGGTGGTGTTCATCCCTCTTGTGCCGTGGTTGTGACTACTCCACACAAGCTGTCCCTGATGGATACAAAGTCGGGTGTGGACAAGATGCGGAGAGATGGCGTAAGAGTCTCGCATTATGAGGTGTTCCTATATTCCCATCACCAGGTCACCATCGGTGCTATCGTTGAGAATATGGCATATCTAGAATGCCCCCACTGTAGCGGGATTATCCACCCTTTTGGTGAAGCAGATGTCCATTGTGCTCTGGGGCTTGGCGAGGAGGTATGTGCATCACGTTGTTTGCATTGTACCGTTCGTATCCACCAAGGGAATAGGAGGCGACGTCGAAATGCCATTCACTCGTCGTGAATGTTCTGCCTGTGGTCGGCGATTCGGTCACTGCATGGACTCGACATTAGAGTTTCTCAGGTACCAGTGGTCGAGCTACCTATCGAGGCCACCTTATCATCGCATCTCATAGCCTCTCCGGCCTCCTCTACTGAACGTCGCTTTTTGGAGCTCGCGAGAATTGTGGCAGCATCTTGTGAAGCGTCAGGCAGCCCTCGTGGGGTCAAAGGTATCTACGACCATTTGCCAATGGTGATTCAGGACTGGGGGACTTTCATTGCGTGTCTGTCGGTGTCCATGTAATCGATAACAATTGTATTAAAGTTAAACCAACCGGTAGTTTTCTGCATAGTATTCTCAATTTCTGTGCTCTGTTGTTTCCCGGATTCACCCGAGTTTCTCCATCTCAAGTGTAGCGTCTGTGAGTCGAATGTATTTCTCGAGAGAGGATCATTCGAGTCATCAGAGCTACTCGTAAATAAATGACCGATGGTATCCGATATCGATGCCATATGAATATCTGAGCCCGACCAAAAGCAATAGGAAGAAGTTCGTGAGTTTTCTCCAGTGATTGGGGTACGCTATGCGTGCGTGGCTCCATCTTACTCCATCATGCCTGTCAACGCGATTGTTTATGCGTCAATTCCACTTCTACAATAGCGGTGTGAATCACACCGCGTGAACAATTGTGTTCGATCTGCCTTTGGAGCTATCGATGAATTGTAAGTTTTTCCTCATTGTATATTGTATATCGCTACTGCGTTCAACATACCGTCTTCTGCGTTGGTAACGCCAGTGCAAGTGGGAAGATCCGCTAGTAGACCCATCTAGTAGACCCATCTTGCACAGTGCGAGTCACACAGAGTTATCAGCCTCAGGCTACTGCATAATATAAGGCTATCATGAGTTGGCCAGTAAGAAGTGGCTTGTGCGTTTGTACGATACCGTAATCTGATGATCTGGACCAGATCATCTGGTATGAATCCTCGGTAAACTGATTTAGGCGTACTGAATACGCAACTCTTCGTGTGCACTGCTAGAGTGGTAGAGGGAGATTGGAGGAGCAGCCTTTGCATACTCTCTGACGATTAAAATGACCTCTACGTACGACCTCAATACGAGAATTGAAAAGTGTGGAGAGTAAAATTGATAAGGCATCCAATGGGCACTTTTTCATTGGAAGGATGCATCTTTCCCTCACAGGCCTCGTGATGTCGAAGGGAGAAAGCTGATAGCGTGTTCCACAGTCCTCAGAGGATCGATGGCACCTCCACGTATATACTGCGGGAAATATTCTGGCATCTCGAGCCCGGCTGGAACAGCATTAGCCAGGATCAGTCGCTTCACCAACGACGGTTCGACATTCATTGACAGGAGGATAGCAGCCAGACCAGCCACTTGCGGTTGAGCAGCGGATGTGCCGCTGAACTTTATCAACTCACCTGCCTTATCACGGCCGACCACGAGTTGAGTACCATAGGCTGCGACGTCAACTCTATCACCATAATTCGACTCAAGATAGAGCACTGGTTCAGTCCTATTGTCCCACATGTAGTCATACAAGGAAGCGACACACATTCCGAGTGGGCCACCATACCAACAGGGGTAAACATCAGATGCTTCCTCGAAGTCATTGCCTGCGGAAGCAACGAGTATAATGTTATTCTGTTGTACAGCACGTAGGGCATCAAACAGCATATGTTGCAACTCCATTTCAAACGCGCTCAATGTGAACCCTAGAGACACCGATATGATGTCTACCTCAATGTCAATGGCCATTTCGAGAGCAAGCAAGAACTTAGATAGACTCAGAGGAGAGTCCTTTGCCATTACTTGTAGCGGTACTAGGGTGACATTAGG